ACTCCTTAATCTCATTTTCTTAATCAGAATTCTCATAATTTGTTTTTCGTAAATTGTCTATCCAGTGTTAGCCAGAGGTGGATGGTTCTCCTATTGGGTCTTGCTAACTCTCAGAGGTTCTTCCTCATGCTGTAAGCGAGATTTTGTCCATGTTATACAAATATATTGCAGTGCATTGCTGTCTTCCTTGTAAGTCTCTCACAGAAAATTCATTGTACAAAACATCACGAGAAACATATGTGAAAATATTTTGGTATAATAGAGCGCTGTGAGAAACACAGATTTCCCAAAGTGCTGTATTTCTGCAGTGAAAATTGCATCACCTTATGTTGCAGAAAGAAACATTGGTTTTCCCTTACATTTACAAGTCAACATCCCAGTCGTAAGGCTTGTTTTCCACTTACCCTGATAAGAATTCGTTTAGAAAAAAAACTGTCATTAAAAACATATGATTTAAAGTAGACAATGACAGGCCGTGGATCATTACATCACCTATGACTGCCCTGCTCTAATCATTGATGGGAATATAGCTTGTGGTTACAGCAAGCACATCTGAGCTCATATTAAGATTATATTTTGCCAAATCAGTGAAATATTTTCCCCCATGGCTTTCGTGAACAGCTCTGGGCCAGATTTTAATGCTTTCTGCTGCCTCTTTGCTAAGCAACCCTCCTAAACTCCCAGCCAGGGATCACTGATGTTTCCTGGTGCTTTCTCTGCAATGACTTGCTGACTTTTCCCACCAAACTGAAGTGCGACTGAACACCACTCAGCAAGAGAGCATACAGGCCAGTAATAACAATAAATCATCCTGCGCATGCTAATAACCAAGAACTTTAGATCATGATTCTGTCAGTAGATGCACATACTCCCATGTTAAATTATTACATACATGTGCAATTCCACAAGCTGCTCCCTGCAGAAATTAAAATTGCTGAGCTGGGCGTAATTTTTATGAAGTAATAGCTACTGCTGTGGTTGATGTCTCAATTAATAACAGCACTACCTTTAAATTATAGGACAAAATGCTTACTTAACAATCCTCTCTGACATACAGATTTTAAGTATTTAGAGTGTGCATCATGATTTAAAAGCGAAGAGAGCTGAGAAGTTCATTACATTTCAAAGACAACTGAGAAGGGGATTCTGCACACGTACATAACTGAATATTCGAGCCTTTACTGGTCTGTATTATGTTCATTTTCATCACAAAACCTCATGTTTTCTTTCCCTGGCCATTCATTGCTTGTATTTGCAGCTTTGTGTGTGATACATAAAGTTCACAAAAGTTGAAGTAAATCTTCTAGATATTATAACTAAAGCTTTTAGTTGTGAAAACAACCTGAGGCCTGCAGTTACTGCGTGAGGTAGATAGGTGCTCAAGCTTGGAACAGGGTGGCAAAAGAGGTACCTTTGCTTCTTTGATCCCACTTATTCATCAACTCAAGTAAAGTTACATTGCATCGTTGTATTTATTCAGGATACCATAAGCATTCAGATATGATTAAATCTGTACACCGTAGAAGCATACACTTACAGACAACACAATCAGAGCATCAAGGGGGTGCCGAATAAACAAATAAATGGTAGGCATCATACAATGATTTTTAAATGGCAGCAATAAATTGCTGAAGAGATATATGCATATAAAATAACCATTTGTACAACAAAATCCATAATAGAACTATTTTGTGATGTTCCTTGAGATGTCTAATTTCCATTCCATCCATATTTGAGATTGTCATTCCAGCTTGCCTTGGATGTTCTTTAAGTTAGACCAAGAAGTTCTTAATGTGAAGATGCATGTCACCCAATGGAAAAAATAATGACTGTAGAATTAAAAAGAGCTTATACTTTTTCTAAGTGAACAAACAGACAGCCTAATCACAGTATGAGACAAGAGATAGCTGAAAAGGTGACACACAGTGTCACTGACACAAAGCACTGCTCTTATGAACCAGCAAAAGCTATTTGGCTGCTAATGGCACCCCTTGTGAAGAATTCAGCCTGCTAAATGTGTGTGAGTGAGTTGGTTACAAGTCCAGCTGATGAGGTACTTTGCATCTAAAAAAGTAACTAAAAAACCTAGGCATTTGAACCCACATCTCCCTTACAAATATATAATTCAGCCACTGATTATATGTAAATGTCCACATGACTTTATGTACAGTAGGGGAAAATAAGGCACAACCTAACATATTTAGTTTTTTGCCAGATAATTTAAAAGTATTTGAGGAAGATTAATATATTTTATACAAGCAACCCACACAGCTCTGCTATAAATGAAAACTTTATTTCCAGCCCCTACCATTTATAAACAATTCAGCAGAAAGCAGAGTGAGTGCAAATATTACAGCTAACCCCATGGATGAGGTTAGTTGTAACAGACTGAAGGCCTAGTTTAAAAGTCTGGTAAATCGATGCAAACACAATTAATTCGATACAGTTCTATGTTGTTCGAACCGGGACAAGCTTTTCAACCAAAATATATAAAAATATATTCATCAAAATATAATTAGTGAATAGAGATTGCATTCAATTTATTTTTTATCACAGTAGAAGAGCACATATCAGCACAATACATTTGAAATACATTTTATTTACATGACATCTATAACATACTTTCAATCAGTCTGTCCTTAAAAAAAATACTATTGAATTTACATTGGGAGATTTAATTCACTATTACTGTGTTAAAATTAACCCCTTCATGTGAAAGCTGTGCTTTAACCTTGCTAACTCTCACTGTGAGTTATTTATATGCTTCAAAATGATGCTACATCACTAGAGACTAACTACCAAACTACCAAGAGAGTCAATAAAATAATATGCACTATATGGACAAACATATTGGGACACCTATAAATTACACCTACAGGAGCTTTAATGACATCCCATTCTAAATCCATAGGCATTATTATGGATTTGTTCCCCACTTTGCAGCTATAACAGTTTACACTCTTCTGGGAAGCTTTCTACAAGATTTTGGAGTGTGTCTGTGGGAAGTTTTGTCCATTCATCCAGAAGAGCATTTGTGAGGTCAGACACTGATGTTGGACGAGAGGGCCTGGCTCGCAAAAGAATATTAGAACATGATTAAAAGCATGCGCTACTTGAACATGTTTAACCATAAAATATCCATGTTTTACACTGTGTTAGTTGGTGCCCTGCTCTCCTCTAAGCTTTGGAAGAATTTGTCTTGCTGCATTCATAAAAAATATCAAGTATAAAGCTATATCAATTGTGCTTACAGTACTGATCTATCATTACTGAACACATTTATTCCAAATGTACAGTTCATGGCAGTTCATGTTAAAAATTAACAAAGCCATCAGAGTGAGGACAAATTTAATTTCATTTTTACTTGTTGCAGTCCTGAAGGCCATATTATACGTTAGAACCAATAAAAAATAGTTCACAAAAAGGAGTCTTCATTACTGACCCATGAGGCAATTTGGGAGTATCAAAATCAAATGAATAAGAGAGCTTTTACATACACACTACTATCTATAATGTGATACCATGTTGCTATTGGTTTCCCTCCTCAGATGATTCCCATGTTTTAACGAGTGTATCCATCATCCCAAGCCTGGGCTACATGCAAAAGACAACATAGAGAAAAAAACAAAACTGATAATGAGCTGGGATTTTTCTCCCCATGCTAGACAAGCTGACTCAGCACAGCACGCTAAAATCCAAATCTGTTTCAGGAGTTCTGCAAATGTTTTATTGAAACAAATACATACCAGCCCTAAGATCATTAAAGTAAGTAAATGCAACTGTTTAGATTTATAATGATACGTTTGAGAAATGCTATTTTGAGCTCTGCACTGTCCAGAACTGGACACCACACTCATTAATCATAATTACTGAACCACAAACAGCCCCAGAACCTGGGAACATGTATAACAGAGTGGATGAAACAACTAGAATTAGGCTAAAGTAGGCTGAATAAGATGAGTGAGAACCGTGTCTCACCATACCTTCCTTGATTTCAGCTACAGAATATCTCCTCTGGTCCTGGATTTGTGAAATCTGGATCACGTATCTTACAACACACAAGTCTTTAGCCTTTAAATAAATGCAGAAGTTATTACTTCAGAAAATTAAAGGGCTCCTATCATGGATATATGAATTTCCACTCTTTTTGTGAAATAAGTTTGATGTAGTAAGTAAACACCATTAATTTTTAAAAACAAACCATTACTTCCTCAGTCAATATAGTCCCTATAGACACACTAAGCTGGACAACAGCCCATTTTGAATTAAGTGTTTTTCTGATGTCAGAACCATCACATTCATATATATCATCTATCACATATATATTCAGTCTGCAGTGGTTTCGCCCCACCAATTCACGCTGAAGCTATAAGGAGTGTTTTAGCCTGGACCTGTTTTTGAGTGAGGCACACAACAAGACAACCAATCAGAGCAGAGATCATTTACATATAATAGTCACAGGCACGGTAACAAGAATAGCCTGTTTAATTCCAAACAGTAAGGAGAGGTTGGCCATGCAAACATGAATTATGACTGTTTATGGTATATATCAACACTATATCAAAGGGAAAAATACAGGAAAATGTAGGATATGGGCACTTTAAGTTTCTAATATCCTCCAAACCACACAGCTAACTGTGTAATGAGCTATGTACTGTGAATACATGATGTTTTGAGTCTTGTGGTGTCGTGTCACTCAAGTAATCCTCCTACTAGTACCTGCTCCACCATTCAATTCTTGGGTGCAACTCCTCTTTGCACACACAGCCATCTGGTGGGGAGAGATGGAAATGGTGGTCTTTCTTTTGAAACATAAGCTTTATGGCTAAAATGGGCTAAATATGTATAGACTTCTTTTACTGTGTCCTGAAAAAATGCAATATAAACAGCAAACTGATCTTTGACAGGCTACAAAAGTAAACACATGCACGGTTTCCAGTGCTGTAATACGGCGTCATAGGACGGAGAAGCAAAAACAACAACTCCCAAGAATCAACGCGAAAAACAACCTCGGACAAACGGGAAGTGATTCAGGAAGTAGTTTTGACATCGATATAGGAATACGAGCACGGTTTTAGCAGACAAATTAATAAAATATAACTTGTAACCTACCTGTACAACGCTGTAATACAACACACCATGTCTAGGCAGTCCAACAGATCCACCGATAGCAAGAAGATGGTGAGTGCGTGTTTGTGTCTGTGCTGATTTAGCGTTTAGCGCTAATGTTTTGGCTAATGGGATCCATGCAGCAGTTAGCTTTGACTGTTTTGAATGTGCAGAGTTTATTTAGTTTTCTGTCTATTTGTTATTTATTTTGTTTGCTGCAGTATCATGTTCGAAAGTACTCTGTCTGTGAGCGGTTAGGTTAGTTCACAGTCAACGTTATTTGTCATTCTCCTTTCGCTGAAATCCTTCGGCGCTTCACAGCTTAAAGCTAGTTAGTAGATTTAGTAAGAATGAATGGCTGGTGGCTTTTCAGACAGAAAGACAGTGAGTAGTCTTGTGTTTTTAAACGTTTAAGTGCTTAAATCCAGTACAGAGGTCCTCCACGATCTCTAAGACGTAGAAACCCCCGCTCTGTTAACGTTATTGATACATTTATTTTCATTGCCCATCACTAGCGTAGTTCTTCTGCATCTACAAGAATGATAAAGTGCATCCCGTCAATGTGGGGTGCCTGTACACAACAGTCCAATGATAAAAACATAGTGTTTTCACTTTACATTACACGTAGCACAATATTTAAGTTGGAACAGTGTCACGTTTTAATATCACTATCAAAAACACAATGCTTTTGTTCATGTTTCACATACTGTGCTGATCTGAATCCAGTTATTTAGGGCAAATTATGCTTTCTTTGTAAGTAAAGTAGTTAATGATGGTTTCCATGATATGCTCAAAAAGCATTTTATGATGTAACGTCATGTAATTTAACGTAATAACAATAACAAATGCTGTCATATTGCCCACCTATTGTAAAAAGTGATTTTCTTTCTTCACATATGACCAGACCTGAATGTAAATAAGCTTTGGGGACACAAGAATAAGTTCTGCGTCTTGATCTCAGATGCTGTGTTAAATACATGTTTTTTACAGTACCAAATGGTTTAAGTTGCACCTGCTACTTAACACAGTACAAGGTTATGTTGGGCCACAAGGAGGTGCCCAAGACTTTAAGACGTGAGGAGTCACATGACGTGCTCAACTAAAAGAATTGTTACGAGGAAATGGTTGTCAGTCCTGGAGTTGTCACTTTTCTCACACTTAAGTCTGACTGATTAAAATAATGAAGTTTTGCTGATGAGTTGAATCGTGTATGGAAGGGAAAATACTGAATTGTGTAATACTCTGTCTGGTCTAAAGCAAGGGTTGATTTTATGGTATGTGCCTCTGTTAAACATTGTTAACATCGTTCAGCCCTAGCAGTTGTTTTAGACCTGCAAGAAAGTTGAAGTACAGCATGTTTACATGTTGTGATTGCATATAACAGTCCGGTGATTAAAACATACAAAAGTAGGACTTTTTGTATTTAGTACTAACATGAATGAATGTCACAGTATGTAGGCTGAGTGAAAAGTTATTTCCTTTCATAAAAAAGCTATTTTTGAGTACAAGAAAAGCAGACTTTTGGTTGAAAATGCTCAGTAATGTATTTTTTCCCTGACTGGCTTTTTCCCTTTTCTCTTTAACAGAATTCTGAACTGTTTACTCTCACATATGGAGCCCTGGTCACTCAACTATGTAAGGACTATGAGAATGATGAGGAAGTCAACAAGCAGCTTGATAAAATGTAAGTCTCTCTCTCTCACTCTCTCACTTTCTGGGCTAGTGTCATATTCAAATTCAATCAAAAAGCATAGTTTAAAAAATAAAATGTACATAGTTTACCACTTAGCCCTGTTTTAATCAATCAGCCAAGGTACATTTGATGTCCAAATTTTGCTTCTTTTATTCAGTGCTGGAACAAGGCTTCAAGGTAAATACATCCCCAAAACGTCTCTCAACCCACTGAAACTGCATTTTCATTAAGGTTGTGCAGACTTGATGTTCTTTAGATTACAGTATGACTTACAGTGAGCTACAAAAATGAAAAAAAAAAATCACATACTTTGACGCACACCTGTTGCCTAAACTTGCTGCCCTTTGCATTCATTTACATGGTGATGTTTTTATTTATTTTGTATAGTTCATATTAAGTCATACTGTGCCCAGAATCACCATATATAGTGTGGTATATATAGTGGAATAGTTTGAGCGGGGTGTTTTGAGGATATATTTACAGAACCGATTTTGGTGTGTGTACTACAAAGTACTACAAAGTTAAAGAAGCCAAATTGGAAAATTATATAAGTTAGATTTTTGCTGAACCATTTCTTTAACTTCACACAAAGCCTTGCATTATTTCCAGGAAACGTTCATTGTATGCCTTTTTTGTTTCATTGCACATCTTGCAAGAATACTGTGGTGTCCAATCAGTTCTCCAAACAACTGTAAAGAGGACTTTGTATTGTCTGCATTCTGCCTAGTTGCAAGTAGTGGTTGATGTGAGGTAGTCTGTTAGTCTGTCAGTGGTCTGTTAGTAGGAAAAAAGGAGTGAAATGTACCCTTATACCCCTTTTGAGACCTCTCTGCCCACAGCATGATGTAAAATGAATAGAGCAACTGTGTGGCTAGGGTCCTGTCTTTTAAAATGGGTGGCTCAATCCTGCAGTACACAGACGAATTCCACTGCCTGTTTGGAAAGGAACCAGTGCTAATGCTGATAATGATATATTGCTGTTGATTATTCCTATGCTTTTCTTTTACATTAAGGAACTTTTTAGAAGGTTTGTGTTTTTCATTGAAAAATAATTCATATAAATCAATTACTAGCTTTAATTATAACTTTACTGGTGGATTCTGCCAGTAAACCTTTTGCTCAGAAGTGGAGTTACTGATTCAGCCAAGATCTCAGTCCTAGTTCCTCACAACAAATGTGAAAGAGATTGATCAGAATTTCCATTCTTTATCTCACTGCTTGACATTTTAGCCCTGACATGACCCTGATATGAACGTTTTGAACCAAAACTGTTATGAATTAAAAGATGTGTCATAAAAGAAGAAGAGCTTGTGTTTGTTCTGAAGGGCTTACAAAGTGTTTCTTTTTTCTTCTTTTGTATTTTTCTGCCTACTTTTTGAAGGGGTTACAATATTGGAGTGCGTCTCATCGAGGACTTCTTGGCTCGCTCCAGTGTAGGCAGGTGTCACGATTTCCGAGAAACAGCTGATGTCATTGCAAAGGTACCAGAACAATTCTGATACAAATAACCTTGTAAACGTGCAACAAAGCAAGTGGCTGCATTTTGAACTGTGGTCTCCAGTAGCCTGCAAAGTTTCTAAGCTTTCATCACTTTTGCTATTGTTTTGATTTTTCTGAATCATGCAGGTGGAGAAATATTCTAGCCATGCCACCATAAATTCAACCGGCCTGCCATGTGCAGTGTCTGAGGGACTCAAGCTGCCTGTTCCCCTGCGTTTGTTGTCTTTGGTCCATAATGACCAGATGTCCTGTTACTTAGACCAGTTGCGAAACATTGCACTGCAGAAAGCGTTAGTTCACACTGAAAGAATGACAGTATTTTGCTCTTTCCCCCCACCCTGTTCTCTCTCTTTGCTTTCCACTGCGAGCCACGTTGTCAGATGTTAATCTACCGTGTGTCTGTTTGCACAGAGCACTGGGCTCCTGATCAGAATACTGAGTCTTTGAGCCCTTTAGCGCTTCCATTGCTTCCATGGGGAGAGTTCAAAAAGCCACTCTGAGGTCATGATTTCTGAGCTTTCTGTTCTCCACGCTTAAAAATCTCACCCAGGTTATTTCAGCAGCTGTGGCTGCCTTTAGGCATATACATCACCTAAAAAGAATCTTCTAGATCTGCAAAATCATTTAAATATCACACTTGGATTACATCACCGGTTAAAGGCTTTTTTTTGTTTGTGTGTTTGATTGTTTTTTAAATATGTATGTATTTAAAAAACTGCTTTCAATGGACAGGTAGCCTTCAAGATGTACTTGGGCATTACCCCCAGTGTGACCAACTGGAGCCCTGCTGGAGATGAGTTCTCCCTCATCCTGGAAAGTAACCCCCTGGTGGACTTTGTGGAGCTTCCAGATAACCACAGCACTCTAATCTACTCCAACTTGCTCTGTGGAGTGCTGAGAGGAGCTCTGGAGATGGTAAAGAGATTTTAAGTGTGGCGTGTTTGTATATTGAAAGGAGATTGACTATTTTAATCATTATTACTGTAGCTTCACACAAGTTGATGCCACCATTTGGGACATGCTTAATGTTTTTGGTTTGTTTCCGCAGGTTCAAATGGCAGTGGATGTGCGATTTGCTCAAGACACACTAAGAGGAGACAATGTGACAGAGATCCGTATGAAGTTCATCAAGAGGATTGAGGAAAACTTGCCTGCAGGAGATGAATGAGGCTGTTGTGATGTGTTAGTGCTGGAGCAGCGCTGGCCTCTTGGACCTGAGAGACTTCGATCATGAAGTTTTGGTGGGAACCACAGACCTACAGTTCAGTCAAAAGAAACAGTACAAAGAAAAAATCAGCTGAGCTCGTTTCTCGTTCCTCAGGCATTGAAATACAGTACATCCTCACTCATCTTTTGTATTTTTTTTGTCTTTTTGGTTAAGGCAATTAAAACCACCTGAGACTTTTTTAATCTTTCCTAACTCATTAGATTTAAAGCTCTGTTCAAAATTTCAAGAAACAAAATTCTCCAGCCCTTGCTGTCACTTGGAAAGTTCATATTGTTGATGTAACGGATGATTGCTGTTCTTTAAAACTGAAATGCCCTCTCCTAATATGTGATAAAACATTTTAACTTACATCCAGTGTTTACTCACATTTGTAATGGGAAAAAAACAGTACCAAAGCTAGAGAAATTATTCACCAGACTGTTTCTTTATTTCTGCATCGTAGATTTGCTGAGTGAAGGAAACAGAGGAAGTGTGTGCAGGCTTATTTTAATTTGGATTGTAATGTACAGTGTATCCCCTCTAACTAGGGTTATCTTTATCTTCTCTCTTGGCCCCACATTGGAAAAAATTTCAGACTTGTGGAATTTGCATCTCATAGTTTGGCGTACCTTGTAAAAAGCCATGTGTGTCCTTTCTTTGGTTTTGTTTCTGTTGTAATTTTTTTAATTCTTTTTTTGGTTAGTCATGTAAAGGATATATGGCACATGTGAGTGTATTTATTTACAAATCAAATGTAATAAATTACTAACTGAATAGGTGTCTTAGGCCTCTCCATGTTCCCACACTTGCGTCTTTTTAGGCCTATAGCATACAAAATACCCTTAAATTTATATACACTTTAATCGTTTTGATGCTTTATGCAGCACAGAACTCTTTTATTTCTTATCAGCTGGTCACGCGCAAGTTTTAGCATCCATCTTAAAGCAGCATGTTGAGAATGGGGCCCATGTCTAAGTCAGAACAGAGCTGCAGTCTTGCATGGTCTGGTAGAAGACAGGCTTTATGGAAAGTGCAATGTTGTTGCGGTCAGCCTGGGAGGGGTCATATAGCCGTGTAGAGAATGGGATCTGTGTGCCTGGTGCAACTGCCGAGCCTGTGGCAGGTCCCTCCACACGTATGTAATGAAGTGTTGTGGCACCACCCCTGCGCCTCTCCTGAGGTTATCAAGGAGAGGCCTTTACACTGGTGGGGACTGTTATACCTGCAGTGCAGCTTCACAGTGCAGCTGAAGTAAAACAACAATAACAAGGGCCTAATTTGTCTCAGATGTTTACTCAAGCAACATGGAAGCAATCAAGGGCTGCAAGTTCACCGGTGCGTGTGCAGGGCAGGGGTGTTTTTGGGAGCCAGTGTGTTTTAACAGGGTGACTTGGGGGTGTGTAGACTGGTTTAGGGCATAGGGCAGAGAGCGTTGGCCATTTACTGAAAGGCACTCATTTCTCTACCAGATTTTTGGGCCTAACACCTGTTAATGGCCTTACGTCATTCAGGAGTCGCAGGCAGAGTCTCATTTTCCAGCATTCCTCACCTCGTCAATCTCAAGTGGAAAGAAAATGACTGTTAATGTACTGTGTTCCTTGGTTATGGAGCTAGGATTCCAATCTTGGAAACTGCAGTTGTATGGTATTGTTGCTCCTTCTTATACATCTTTTCAGCCAACTTTGTCATTTGCTAGTAATACTGTCAAAGATTTTTGAAAGTCTTTCAAAGTCTTGAAAGCTTTTTCACCAATAGCCACTAGAGGTAGCTGTGAGTATTTATGTTCTCTTTCTTGTCTGCCCATAAGCCCTGTTCTATTTTCCTTTTCAAATTTCATAATGCATAGGGCACATTCTAGGCACATTTGAATGCTGGAGGCAGGGATATTATTTACTGGATAAATCTGCTTGCTCTTAATTCATTCACATATACAGAAAAAGTTAAGGAGAAATTATGCAGGGTCCAATCAGAATGATTGTGAGTGTTTTTCTTCTGAAGAGTGATCATTCCAGATTATACTGCAATACATGTATTCAATTTAAGGTATATTTTGGAACGAGATTGGAGAGGAAATGACTTTGTGCAGACGTTAGTGTAAATCATTTGGCAGAATTAGACCTCTGTATCAGGGGGATATACAGCTGGGATTGTGTACTGTGTGAAAACCTTTATCATTCTTCCATATGCTGTCAGGAATTCCTTTCTCTATGTCTTTCTCTCTTCACTTTCCTGCCTTATTTCCTTCTTTCTTTTCATTCTTCCTTTCTTTTATTCTGGCCTTTCATCCTTTCCTCCATCTGCTTACTTTCCCCTGCCTCATTATTCTGCCCTAACCAAACACAACTTGGCCATCATCGACCATCACCAACACCTTCTAATGAACACTTAACTTTAAAATATAGGGCCTACAGCAATATCAGTGTAAGGAGAGGGATGGAGTCCATGTGATAAGTTGACTGTTTATTGGGCCTTGGTTCTGTTTGCTTTTAGCCCCTTTGTTCACTCCTACGCATACTCTCTACAAGTGATTATTATGCTAGGATAATATTGCACATATTTCAGGGGAAAAAATGTAGGAATTTGTAGGTTTACCCAGCATGGTTTACTTTCTCCTCCACCTTGAGGACTTGGCTTCACTGGCTATTTTTATCTCTTCCGCCTCTGTCTCACGGAAGGTTCCCAGCACACAAACACATACAAGAGAAAATGGTTCTCAATATTTCATTACTGACCTACAATTTGTCCAGTTTCTGCCACCGACCCACATCATTTTTCTCTGTACTTTTGAAGGAGTTTTTATTAAGACAGTTCTTGCAAGCAAGTAGCAAATGTTACAGACCTGAGATGATGCACACCAATCTAGTTTAAGCTCCCAAAATGCTACCATGTGGCTTTTATAGAAAACAAATGGGGAATGGCACGCTGAAACAATAAAGTTCTGTGGATGGCCTGGTGCTGGCCTACGGTTACTGAATCCCCCTCATCCATCCTCCCTTCTCCCTTTCCCCACTCACTTTCTCCCTCTGGAGCCACACTTTCAAGCCTTGCCAGGATGAAGGGATTGGCAGAGTGAGAGATGGAGGGTGGAGAAAGGAGAGAAAGAGCAGAGGAAGGCAGCGAGCATTTGAGAAACATATCTTGTGGGAATATCAAACATGACTTACACTGCTGAGCACTAGTTATTGTACTGAGAAGTCTCAAATGAAGGAGCATCCCATTAGTCTCTGGCCTGTGTGTTATGTCTAGTAAAGTTTTTGAGAATGTCAATCAACTGAGTAGAAGATGACACACCAAGACTGTTGATGTCTGTGGTAACTTTCAGATGTCCAGAGAGCACGAAAACAAACAGTATTAGCAATACAGTAGGCTTTTTAAGAGATGAAGCTTTAATAGTTCTTACCCTTTTCTCACTTTTGAGATGCATTAATAAATGCAGTGTATGTTATGTTTCAGCTACAAGTACACTCTCAACAGAACTGTGAAAAAATAGTTTGATGCATGAAGTAAAGTTCTAAGAAAAACCTTTAAAAAGCAAGAACCGTTCATCCACAACTACATAGAGAGGGACATTATAGTAGAGTTGCGGTGCATAAACCCCTTATTACTAGGACCAGTGCACATCTGAGACTTCAATGGTGTAAAAACCATAAGCATTGGTCTACAGAGATGTGGGAAAAGTAAGTGGTCAGATTAGTCATCTTTCACAATATGTGGGCAAGTGCATGTGTGGCGTACAACAAGAGAACACTACAGGCCTGAGTGCTTAACCACTTCAGTGAGTGGGTCTGGTAGCTCTGTAATGCTGTGGGGAGCATTTGACTGGAGTAGTCTAGCTGTGTCTAGGAGTCTAGCTGTGTCTTTAAAGGAAAGGTTCACTGCATATCAATATGAAGTTATTCTGATTGATAACTTTTATCCAGTGATGATAGAATTCTATGCTGATGGGAGGGGTCTCTTCCAGAATGAAAACACAGGGCCTGAGGGGTTGTTGAACGGTGATTATGAATATGAATTATTTAAATCATATGTTATAACCTTTACAGTCACCAGCTCTCAACCCAGTTGAACACCTATGGGAGATTTTTGAGCAATGTTTTAGACACTGCTCTCCACCATTATCAACAAAACACTAATTAGGGGTGTATCTTTTGGAAGAATGGTGTTCTATCCCTCAAGCACATATCCAGAGACTTGTAGAATGTATATCAAGGTGCCCTAAAGCTGTTCTGGCAGGTTGTGGTGGCCCAAGATCATACTAAGACACTTTATATTGTTTTTTCTTTAATTTGTCACCTGTCTGTACATATAATTAACACATTTCAGAAGTGACTTTGCTCTCCTTTCAAATCTTTAGTCCAGCTTATTCAGAGAAGGACAGGCCCAACAGATCACAGAAGAGGGATATGGAAGGATCTTTGTTTATGAGGATTATAGCCTGGGGTCAGAAGTTGCACATGTGACAGTTAGCCCTAGTCCTTACAGCTTTCGCTTTTGGTCTCTGCTGAGAGGGGAAACAGAGTGGCCAGGATTTGAAGGGTCAACCATGATTTTCCACACCCTCTTCCTCATTCTAGACAAGTACAAGTTGAGCGGGCGGGTATGGCACAATGCACTGCAGTTTTCTCTCAGAGCACAATGATGCAAAGCCAAGCCAGACAGAAACAGAGGATGAAGGATGTGATAACTGATTCTATTATGGCTTTACAGAATTGGACCAGCTGCTCCTGTGTATGTTTCTTGCATGCACTTTTGGGCCTTCTGGTAGTGGTAGTGACATTCAATTATCTCATGTTTTTTAGATTTAGCCAGCTTTTGATGGCAAGTTCTCCTTATTGTAACTTGAAGATTTCTCTTAATGTATTCAGAAATACAATAATCTTTTTTGGTCACACACAGAAAATGGCTGTCTTTGTTCTTATTCTAAAATATAGGTACCAAAAAGCATCCATACAAAAGGTGCCATAAAAGAACTGGTTTGGTTCCCTAAAGAGCCTTCAAAAGGATAGTCCTTTAGAGAACCATTTTTGTAAATAAGATATGTGAGTGATAAACCTTTCTGAAGTTTAAAGTTCTAGGAAGAACGATTACACTGGTGTAAAACCTAAGGTTCATTAAATGGATCTTAGGATACATTTACTGCATCCACTCACTGTCTGCTCTTTTAGACACACCTATTTTGTTGGTCCACTTTGTAGATGTAAAGTCAGAGACAGTAGCTCATCTGTTGCTGCACAGTTTGTGTTGGTCATCCTCTAGTCCTTCATCAGTGGTCGCTGGACACTGCCCACAGGACGCTGTCAGCTGGATATTTTTGGCTGCATATTTAGGGGTCCTAACCATTAAAGAACAGGGTAAGAGGGGCTAAAAAAAGTATGCAGAGAAACAGATGGACTACAGTCTGTAATTGTAGAACTACAAAGTGCACCTTTATGGTGAGTGGACCTTATGAAATGGAGGTGGTGAAAGGAGGTGTACTTCATAAATTCACCACCTATATATATATAACTATACGTATATATGTATCATATTCAAAAGTTTGGGCACCCTTGGTGAACTTGCGTTTTGTTGATTTTCTAATTGAAAATAAGTTATAAATAAGTAATAAGCAATTTTTCTAATTACCTGAGCCTGCATTCGCAACATATGATAGAAAAGCTTATCTTGTGACTACTTTTGTCACAATGCTTTCTGTCCAAGTTACTTTATCTCTGGTTCTCTTTATACTTTATACTTTATGGTAGTTTATTGTTTTGAATTTAGTTTTC